AAAAATTTGCTAGTGTTTAATTTTATACGCGTCCCGTGTTATTGTTCCCATCAGAAACAATTAGAAATTTAAGAACAGCGACACAATTTATTTCTTCGTTGGCTTTTCTGCACGTATTTTGCTTTTTTTCTTCGCATATTGTGTAGTTACATAAATATAGTATTGAGCGTGCATATTGTATAAAAAAGGAAGACCACAATTGTTTACCATTAATTTCCAAATACATATCTCTGAATTAATTCAACTGATACTCGTTATACGCAGTGTGTTATATAATATCATAGTTAATAGCATGAAAGAAATATTATTCATTTCTAGTTGGCTTGATGCTCTTAGTACGGAACGCAGACAATATGTAAACTTGAAGTTTTCAGCAATGAAAGGGTTACGTATAAACATAAATTTGTATGTAAACATCTGCAATGTTTTTACTTTTACAATGTTTGTTACTTATATGTTACTTTTACAATTTGCAATGTTTTTACGCGTTTCGCATAAAAATTATCCCTTGGTGCTTTTTAATGCTTACAATGTAGCGATAAATGTTTCGAATAACTGCACATTTATTTATAAAAGGTTTTTGTTAATTTTTATAAATGCATATATAAAAAATATAACGTAAATATTATAATAGAGTTTGCAAAAACAATCTTTCTACGTACTTCAAACGCGATGTTCACATACACATACATATGTGTAATTAATGTGTTATTAATGTATATTGTATAAAGAGGACAAAAGGAAAATGATGAATTCAAAATCCAAGAAGAAGAAAAGATCGTTAAGAAATTTTATCATCGATCGTCAGCTTTACATATTTTACTAAAAACCCTTTCCCGACCTTCGTCGCTATATCTTTGATCCCAAGACAGCGTTTTCTTAATTTTTTTTCTTCGTTTTTCATCTCTGAAGTGGCGAATCTTCTCAGCATTTCTACAAAACTATACGATTTATCGAGTAGGTATTTATAGGTTTCGAAAGTTCACCATTAAACTTAGCTCGCTAACTCACTAATCAAATATATCATACAATCACTAAATTATTGCTTTGTCGTGCTTTGTATCACACTAATCTAAATCTTATGTTTTCTGTTTATCTTACGTTTTTTTCCTTTTTTTCCTCGTTTTCATTTTTCCTCTTTTTTTTTAATCCTTTTCACAAAAGCCAGGTTTACTGATGATCATGCCTGCTTCTCTATAAAGTTCTGCTTTCACCGATGCGTTTCTTTTTCCCTAACGTTGTTCGCTCGTATCTTGTCCTTGTGTCTACGTGTGTTTTCTTGTGGTACATGCGAAATGATTCGATGGCGCAGATAACTTGCAGATTTCAGACTTATCGACTCTGCATGAAACTCGAGCGAAATCTAAATTATCGCGTACGGAGGCGAGCCTGGATCGCGCTCTAATTAATTTCATAATTGCATTTAATAAAGGATAACCCGTTTCTTATCTAGTGCCTGAAAATTGTCCGTTTAACGTGCAATGGATAATTCATTTTTCACGTCCTCTTACGTCGTTGCGAATAATTTTCTCCTGAACTACGTTCAGAAATAGAAAATCTTGAAAACGAAGCTTAACATCGATCTATGATAATTGCTATATCATGACTTCGTAATTAATTTATCACAACATATAAGAAAATTCATATTAACACATAAATACCAAGAAATATATAAATTGTATTTATAAGAGCGACTCTATCGTAGAGGACCAATACAATCCAAATTCTAAAAACATCGAGCTCGATTTGCAATTTTTCTTTTTTTTCTTTATGAAAGCGTTCACGTATCGAGATTAATTAGAGGCGATCGTTCTCGCGAAAAGTTTCGGTGTAGCGAAAATTCGACTAACATATACGTACATATACACATACATATAGCATATATCGTGCATATTCGGTCTAATAAGTTAATTAATTATAGTTACAGCGGACAACAACTTTTGTCACGTTGGTTTCGTTGTTCATTTTTACCGTGTTTTCGAACGTACGTAATTTTAACAGTCAGCACCTTCACGCTTATTTTGCTCTCTTTCTTCCCTTTCCTTTCTTTTCTGTCTTCCTCGCGTCATCTTTTCCTTCTCATTATTACTCGTTTGCTTATTGACAACAATCGCGAAAGGTGACATTAATTACGTTTTATCGCTGCGTTTAAGAGCGCCACGGCTTCGGCGTAGTTACGTTTAAGTACTTTGGTCCTCTTTAGAGTCTTCTAAACGCTTAATTATGCGACGAATCGAAATAGCAATCGGTCTCTCGCTGAAGAAACAAGGAAAATCTTCTCTTGTCTCGTTCTGCTTCCACTCTTTCCTCGTTCTTCGGCTCGTTTGTCCTTTAGCTAACATTATAACGGCTATGAGGCAATTAGTTTCATCAGGGCTCCGTTTAATCAGCTTTATCTACTAGAAAAATTCGGTTAAGCGTGGCTTCGTGACGGCACGACGCAAATCCGAGTAATTAACTCTGACATACGCAAAAAGTAGAAAATTAGTAAATTATGTTGTACTGAAAAACTTAGCCAATGGAAAGATTTAGATCAATTATGCTGATAATATAACGACGCAATTATAAAGTTTCCTTCAACTTACGAGACAGATCTCGCTCAGATTAGAAACTTAGAAACTTCTTCATTCGTTGTCACGCGGAAATTAGTTTCGATATACAGGGCGTTTTAAAACTTCGATCCTATAATTTAAAGTCATTTCGCGGCCCGAAAGATGTTCAACCCTTAAAGGCTATTTACAAGTTAGAAAATTTCACTTCGTATGAATTTTCTCTTGATATTATCGCTCTGTAACAGTACAACACGTTATTTGTAATCACTTTGAACAATAATCTTCTACCTTCTAATATCGAGTAACAATGAAACATTTAATTCTACTTGTCCATTATTATTAATTCTTTTTATTCGAAACAGATGTGCCGTTTGTGAACTTTTACCAAGTAACCTTTAAGGTAGCCTTTAAGGATCGATCTTTCTGTAAGAAGGAGTGATTAACGTTTGAAAAATCTCATTTCCAACTTTCTTTCTAAATATCCTGTAATTAATAATATAATATTAACTTCTGCTCTACAATCCGAGTTTAATAATAATCCCAATGAAATCAATAAAGTTATTTTTAAAATATATCACAGTAATTTTACCCAGATAATCGTCGTACACATGCACGATTCCTCCAATTCGATTAAATTCGGCTCGAAGTACGAACGCACAGCCAATAAAAATTGTGTGTTCTTTACGACGTTGAACAAGAAAAATTGATTTTCACTGGACCGAGAAACGTACGAGGCATGATCGTCCTGGGTCCTGGCTTAACTCGTTTGCGTATCTAAAAAATAGCGTCGACTGCTTGTTTATCGTTAATATAGTTAATAATTACACCATTTTTATCGTACCATATTTTTTTTGTAAATTTTTTTTGCTTTCGTTCAAGTTTACACTACGGCGACGATCTAACGTTAGTTTGTATTCGCGTGTTCATCAGTTCTGCGGTTTGCTACATCGTTTCTTTTCTTTTTTCCTCCTTTTTTTTTTTCTCCTTTACCATTGAATAATTAACTCCACTAACTTATCATGCTTTCCTGTCCACGAATTCGACAAAAAAGCATCGAGGAAATCGTGTTTCGAAAACTTTTTTCGACGCTGAAAATAGTCTTCGAGACGGCAACGAATCTTTGTAATTTTTTATTCGAGTCAAGCATTGATCGCTGAGTCGTTTGATCCTAAACGAAGGAATTTAATTGTTTGTAGATCTTTTTAATTCAAACAATGACGAGAATTATTAGAAGTTCGTTAAAAATAGTATTATGTGACAGAGATAATAATAATAGCGTTAGCAATAAGCAACGTGTTTTCATACTTGTATAGCATCTTTTAAATTATTTATCACCACTGTTAGCGATTACTAGACTGCAGGTGTCTATGCAAATTCATATTTTTCTGAACGCAACACTAAAGATACGGTATCTAAACAGAAATTTATTTCACGTAGTAAGTATTATAACAACTACTCCACTATTCCATATTTTACACGTATGCTGTTCGTTTTTGTTTCTTCAAATTTCTCATAAATGCATAAAAATCTCTAGTCTAGCAATTATTGAACGAGAAAAAGGTATCGTAGCTCTTCGTTAAACAGTAATCTCAGTGATCAATCGCTCGCGCTATACTATATGTTTTTTAATTTTCTAATTCGAAGAATCCAGACGTTAATATACTTCGCCTTTCCTAAGAAGTTTTATCTTTGTTAAAATTTGTTGCGCTGATGAAGAAGATGTACTTTGATAACCATATAGATCATTCTCTTTTGTTTCATTATTGACTACCGTTACGAGGTTAACTCTAATTGATTAGAGATTCGATTGACTGTCGAGTATTGTGTATTAGAGCACGAAAACGAGACTGGTACAGCTTGTGAATATCATTGAAGATGTGGATCAAATTTGCCAACGACCTGTTCGAATTGGTCGCTCCCGGTTATCGCCACACCGGCATGAACTATTATTATCCGTCTCCCATAATATTGAATAGAACTGGAATGTTTAGTTTGTCCCATGGAAACGAACGTACGGGACGATTTTCGAAGCTGTTCCCTTAATCGTTGAAACTTGGTCAGACACAGACTCGCTTAACTCATCGTTAATTAAAATGATATAAATAAAAGCGTTAAGAGAAAATAGCTACTACGTCTAGGAACCTTATACTTACAATTATAATAGACTTTATATAAGAACGTGGAAAAATAATCGAATATATTTACATGTCAACAGCCAATCTAGTCTTATAGAATCGAACGGACGAACGTTAGGCAAGTCTATTTCTGACTTTTTGCTCAAACACTGTTACGAGCAACGTACACGTGATTTCATTAATTCCGTTTACAACCGTCGATCTATTAAAAAGAGTGTAATTAAATTCAGAGTTGTATCTGTTTTTAAAATCTTCTTCTTTCTCTCAATTTTCACCCTTCAAGGCTATCGTGGATCTTGTTTCGATGTTATCGTCCAGTAACGATACCGCCACCGTCATGTTATTTGACCAGCGCAAACGGTAATTTTGCTGCTCCTCGTCTAGATCGAACAACGATAAAACACTTAATTATGTAGTTTAAAGAAGATTCGTCTCGGTAAACTCTCGTTCGCGATCGCCTTTAAGGGTTGAATTTTCTTCCATTTTCTGTTTTCGAAGAATCACTTGCACGTTGCTGGTATGTCGAATGCAGACGTGAAAATCCTCGAGATCGAGGTTCGACGTTGCTCTGCTAAACAGACACACGGCGCGAGAAAACTTGCAGACGCATTCGACGCCGTTTTATTCTCATTTTCTTTAGTTTATTAGAAACTTAAACCGCTAAAGCTCGTTTGTTCCGTTGCGTCCGTTTAAAAACTACTTAACGCGAACTAACCGATACGTCGAGTACGCAATAATACAATCGGTCGATCCCCTAAGTTTCTTGTTTTTTTTTCTTTTCTAATCGCTGAAAATGTTTTCGTACCAAAATATCTCTACGGTCGTTATAAAAAACGCGTTTTTTTCCCCACGTGAAAGCAATAGCGACACGAACAACTTAAATTTAAGAACGATCACTTCACCTATTATACAAGACTAAGCCCCGTTTTTCGAGGCAACCTAAGATAAAACGATACGATACAAGCGTAGCTCACTGACTAGAGCGGAAGTCTCTTTATTTCTTTTTTCAGTTACTTGCCGGTGCTTGTCCTTGATATTTTCTATACGTCGACATTCCTTTCGTCTTCCCCGCTCTGATTTTCCTTCCGTCGTAATAATAATATATCAAATTAATATCACGATTAAGAACGTTGTAAGTACGAGTGAACTAGACGATAAATAAAACGACTATTGGACTAGGAACGATGAAAGCGTAGCTAACGATCTAAGTACAATCTTAGAATAGAACAGTCTAAGTCTATTTTGCAATATTTGTTCATTTATTAACTCCTAAAATAAAAATTTACGCACTTACAAACTATCGAGTAAGAGCTGCATTATTGCGTTATTAAATTAGAAATTTACGATAAAAGAAGAATCTCAAAATTTTGTTAGTGATCGATTATCAACTAGAAGCTTCTGACTAGACAAGCGATTAGGAAATTCCTCGAGGATGTAACAAATTTCCGTAATTTTTTCATACGCAGATCGAGTCATTCTATAAATCATCTCTCATTGAAGAAAAAAAAAGAAAAAGAAAAAAAACGAAAAATGGCGGTCTCGTTGGCGTATACTTCTGACAACGAGGAAATTACGGGAGGATGTTCTATAATTTAGGAGAGCGAAACGAGAGAGCGACCCTTTCGCCACCAATGGTCATTCCTGCATTCAACAGGTGGTCCAGTTTACGTGAAATGTTGATGAAAACCTCCGACGTGTGCTCATCCTCCCTCCATCGTTCCTATTGTACGCCAAGGGCGCCGATGAAACTTTGGGAAAACGATTCCTCGAGGAAATTACGTTCGCGTGGAAACTTTTCGCGTTTCTAACATCGATAGTCTCCTATCATCCATCGATAGGTATCGGATATCAACTTGCCCGCGAATCATTTCGACAACGGTCAAGTTACGATACGATATATTGTTTTAGCTCGTCGTGAAGATATTACTACATTTGTACGAAAAATAAATACGAAAGGAAGTTGAGAATGAGGTTGAGATCAATGTCGAGCAGAATTGAGAAAGAAGAGGCACGTTAAAACGTCGACAAGTATGAAATGGAGAATCAAACGAAATTTTCTTTGGCTATAGCTTGTCCTGAAATTAATTGGTCGCTTGAGATCGCTTTCCCTATCACGAATCACGTTTCAGTCTGTGTTTCGACTATTTTATTCCGCGCGATAGAATAAGATAAGATAGATAAGATAGAACTAAGATAGAAGTCAAATATTCCTATCAACTAATGATCCTAGGATCATCCTCCAATCCTAATGATCCCAATCAGTGGATCCCACTATGTACAGGTTATTGCATTAAGTCAAATTGCAGAAGAGCACGCAGAAAATCAATAAGAATGAGACGATGGTACACGAATTGCCACGCGACATCTGAAAACTGCCAAGTTTCATCAAAGAGAAGGTCGTTAAATCGACTAGTAAGCGTACTTGGAGCATGCATTATTTTCATTGGATTCCGAAGTTCCTTGACTAGAATTGACCCGGTTCCCATCGACTATCGGCGATTCGAAATGAATTTTACTCACAAATTGATGGTCCCTCGATAGTATTGCATCGATTTTCGCCGCGCTGTTCGTTCTTTGCCTCTCCCTATCGTATTCCAGACACTTCATCGGCAAGCGAACGAGCGTCGTTTTCGTTTCCCTTGATGCCACGCGAATATCGATTTCACCGGACGACGAATAGAATCTCATCGAGCGTCCATGGACGAAAGGAATGTCGCTTGAATCGCACCGTGCGCGTCTTGATGCAATGAAACACGTGTCTCCTTACTTTACGACGATTTATCCCTGTATATACGCTCCGTTCTCCTCGAACGTTCCTTTCTCTGTGCGAAAACGACTTTAATAATCAGCTTACGTTAATCATATACGCCTTTGAATGTTTACTCACACGAAGAACGAAACGAGAATTCAGAACGTTAGTTTAACCACGATATTCTCGCGTTGGTTCAACGTCCGCCTATTTTATGGGTTTCATCTTCGAAATGTCTGTTCCTTGCTTGCTGGTAGCTTCTGGTGACATGAATCGCGATCAGTTTGAGATCGTTCGCTTACCCAGACTGGGAACTCGATGAATTCGTGATTGTTGGTTAATCGAAAAATCACCTGTGACGTCAACGATCGAAATTCTTCGTTGTTTCTGTTGTTTCGTGGACGAATCCTTCCTTTTACGCTTTTCATCGAGAGAATGGTTCGTGGGATTTTTTGGAAGTTTACGAGAGGGAGGAAGGGAAACAACGAAGTAGTCATCATTGTTGGAACTGTCGAATTCCAGAAAGATTGAATTGACCCATTGAAGTTGATACCAGAAGGGATTGCACCTTGGAGAATCTTTTCTTGCATTTCGTTTATCATCTGATGTGTCGCCAACTGAAAGAAAAGAATTACGAGTTCATTTCTTGGAGGACAAATTATTTCGAGGATTCGGAGATCTATCAAACATCTTCGAGCTATTCAAGTATCTTATTACATTCGTTATCTGTTTACACTAATCAGTCAAACTTTCTTAAACATTCGAACTTATAACTATTCAATTTCAAAGACTCTACTCCAATATCTGATATTCTCGCTTCTTATCCTTCAAACATTTTCAAGCGTTCACAACCACTTCTTGAATTGCTTTAAATTTTCTTATCAAAGATTCTATTCCAGTATCTAATATTCTCACTCTCAACTTTTCAAACATTTTTCGACACCGTCAACTTCCATTTACTTAATTACCCAGAATTACTCTCCATAAATTCTCTTTTGAATTTTACCAAAAACATAACCCAAACCTGACCCAATTTCTTGTCGATCGTTCTTCAAATTTTTCCAGTACCTGAAGCTTAAAAACCTACTTGATGACGTGCAGCGACACTAGCGCCAAAAGTGCCCGTAACTCGATGGAATCTATTGAGGTGCATCTAGGTCATTGTTGGAATCGTCGTTCTCCCTTTGACAGGCGGACTCTAGGTGCTTGTTCAGGTAAGATTTGAGCGCGAACGATTTGTGACACTTGTGGCACTCGTAGTTCTTGTCCGCGGAGTGCGTCTGCATGTGGGCGCGCAGATTCGACCGATCGGCGAACGCTTTGCCGCAATGCGCGCATCCATAAGGTTTCTCGCCCGTGTGACTTCTCAGGTGTCCTTGGAGTAGCCACGGTCTGGAGAACATCTTGCCACAGACACCGCAACTGTGTGTTAGTTTATGGGTCAGCACGTGCATCGCCAGGGCTGGCATGCTTACGTATGCTTTGCCACAGTGGATGCATTTCTTCGCCGATTGCGAGTCGATACTACGATGGGTTTGCTTGTGTCGTGACAAGTTTGACGAAGTCGCGTACTGTTTACCTGGAAACAGAAAATTGTTACTGTGAACGATAGTTTCATGATGGGACTGACCTGCTGTTTGGCTCTGAATGGATTCTATTTTTCAAGGGACACATTTTATGTTAAAACTCTGATTTGAAAGCTTAATCCGTGCCTTTGAAGCTACAAAAATTTGTGTAATTAAAATTCAATATCTCTCTTTTCTAAAATATCTATAGCAAAGAAATGAACGACACTCGAGGAAACGAAAATGAGAATACTTTAGATGGCGTAATTCACTGACGACAACTACCCTGATCCCGATATTTCTCAACAACTTACCGCACTCGCAACAGACGTAACGCCCGATCTTTGATGCCTCAAGTCCTTCAACCGGTTCAGCCTCCTGCGTTTTCTGAATAGGTAAAACCTTCTTATTCTTCGACCTCCCGTCAGTTACCAATAAAGTGTCATACGTATAGCTCGCCGGTTTCACCTCGCTCTGTTCGAGCACTGTTTGCACCTCTTTATCCTTCTGACTGGGTTGCGAATTTGGATTATTATTTTCAATATCGCTGCTACATTCAGACGTAGGTGGGGTCAGTGGTGGTGCTGCCTCTATGGCTTGGAGAAGATGCTGTTGCTGTGGTAGTAGTTGGGGTGGATGATGTGTAGTCATGATCGGCGTGCACGGGATGGTCGGTGTGCACGGGATGGTCGGCGTGCACGGGATGGACGGCGTGCTATAGGTGAGCAGAATCTCTTGAACAGGGGACAGTGGGATGAACACGCTGCCCGTTTGCTGGACTATCGTTGCGCTGGGCTCGTAAATGATGCTCGCGGTTGTTGGTTGCTGGTGTTGGTGATGGGTGTAGACTGTAGAACTTGTTAAACCGATAGTGTTCACTTGGTAGATCGGTTGATTCGGTTGGTACACCGTCATCTCTTGGATATCGGTTGCAGGTGACTCTATCACGTTTTGTGGCCCGATGGCGACACTGGGTGGTGGTAATGGGGGCAACGATCTTGAGAGCTCTAGTAAATCGTGTGCAGCTTCTGTTTCAGCCGCTGAACGGTCTTTGAACATCGAGGACACGTAATTGGTGATCACATTGCCGTTATTGGACCCTATCCTTGAATCAGACGTGGAATGATCCGCTGTTTCTTCCACATGGTACGGTGTAGCGGTGTTCGAGGATGGAGAAGGCTCCCTCGGTGGCGTGTAATGGAGCACGGTCGTATGTTGCTGATGGTCTGTGTGAACTGTTTTGGACGGTGATCTGGGAGCCGTGGAAGGCAACGTGGATGTCGTGATCGTTGTGTCCTCGACGCTCAAGGCGATTGATTCTGTCGTTTGCGGAGCTACCACCGTGGATGGTGAGCATGTAGCTGTGCAGGTGATCACCGATGTCTCCGTTCGAGCTGCAGTCGAAGATTCCGTCGATGGTGTACTCGTGGTGTTTGTCGTCGCCGTCATGTCCACATTGCTAGGCTCGTTTACCTTCTCCTTCGGGACATTCTGCTCGAGCGTCTTCGCTCCTGTCGTTGCAGTCGTATCTTGGGACTTCGCATTCAGGTATTCTGCGACAGAAAAGATAATTCTGCAGCTGTGACTGGTTTACAAAGTCGATTGATGTATTTAAGATGACCAGTTCTTATATACAATTTTGAAATACCGTTGATGTGTATAAAACTAATGGTCTTTGCAAGATATAGAGTTTAAACATTCTTAATCCCTTAACTTACAATCGTATGGAAGACGTCGTACATCAAGATAATAAATCTTTCATGTTTAATGATCAATTGTAGTAATTAGTTATCAAACATCTTGCAGAATAAAATTAGTTGTACCTTACACATGCATTTACATATCAAAAGACATATGCAATTTGCACAACTTTGGTGTGCGACCAATCTTGTTGTCGTTTATAGCACGCGCTATTGGAACTTAAGTCCTAACGCAAGAATTAGCCTGGTGCATACGTACTTTGAAAATCTTCAAATTAAATTTTCACAGAAGCGAGGCCTTAAATGAAGGGAGCCTTGTTCTACATCTTCGACTTATTTTTGTGTTTTGTTTTCTACTCCACGTAGATTCTCAACTTGATTTCGAAACTAAAATATCCATCGTAATTTCGTTACTCTTAACTCCCGTTCGTAACCTAAGACGTTAACCACTGCGCTACCGTCGTCCGGTAGAAGTTAGTGTCGAGTGACGGTATTTGTTGTCGAGTGCCGCCACACATCCAATGTAATAGTCTTTTAAACAAAGTTATTCTTATGCTGCTATAAATAATTTGAAAATCTTGAAAAATCCACGACCAACAAAGACAGTTTAATTCTATGGATATACGTATATGCTGTCCTTTTCTGCACGCGCGCGAACAGGAGAAAATGCATTAGATATAGAGGCCCGCGCCTCTGAGTTATGTTAGGCTCGGCAAGATGGTAGCGCCATATCTACTAAAAACCCGTTACCCGTTACAGGAGCGGTAATTGGGGTAATTTCAACCCTGGGACTATCATGCGGCATTACTTCAGGGTTGTCCTCTACATAAGCGTACGTAAAGATTACCAGATGGAGGGCTCTATAAAGACGAATAAAAAGTTTCTCTATAATGTATCGAACACAGTTATTTAAAAAAAACGGACGAAAAAATTTTTTTTCTGAAGAAAACATTAATGAATAATGAATAAGAATGAGAATAAAATTTTAGATAATAAATTATTTAACCCCTTCCCGTACTTTATCGAGTCAAACTCGCGATGAAGATTTTGGCCCAAACATGAATATCGCGAGTCTGACTCGCGACCAGATACTTGGGCCAAACGTAAACATAATAAGCCGAGCTCGCGGACTATCTTTTGGCCCGTTACGATCGTGACTGAATGATAGTTCCTGTTTATGAGCATCGGTCTGGACTTGGGCCCGAGTTTCGTCGAACTGAATGACACGGGAAGGAGTCAATGATCGTCTTACTTTGAGTCGTAGAATCTTCCTGCTTTGATCGTACCACAAGTTTGAAACCATAGTGTATACAATTTCGAGGTACTATTAACGTTACGAGGCTCATAAATTCTAAAATTTGAACGATACTTCAAATTCTCTGCTCCATCGTTCCAGGTAAGTTCTCAAAGCGAAACGAGGAAGCTGATGCAATTCAATAACCGCGGTTGCCTTCCTTCCTCCGAGAAAAAGGGCACGGAAAAGTCGAAAAAAAGGAAAAAGAACACAAAGGAGAACCAGGAGCACTTTGAGCAAAGGAGCGGAAACAGCATCGTCAGCCCTATTTCGTCCCTTCCGTCCGCGACAATGCGATATTAACGAGACAACTGACGAGCGACAGCGCGGCGCGTAACTCGATTTCTTAATTTGACTTTTTAATCGAGGTTTAACGAGGAGAAATCGCGGGGGAGAGGAGCGTGCCGAGTTCTTCTGTTGTCGACGTGCCAACGAAAGAGTGTCGAACCTCGTTGTAGCAGTGTGAGAGCAAGAGGGTGAGACGAAGGAGGACCAGGGATTATGACGGCAAGCATGTTGGAAACGAGGTCAAAGGGGATGGGTGGCTGGCCAAGGAAAGTGTACGACCGAGCGGATATAAAATTTCACGATAACTCGGTTATGAAACTGCGTGTCTCGTTTCAACGACGCTCCTTTTATCTTCTTTCCTTTTTTTTCCTTAGAATTGTTTCGAGTCTCGATTCAGTGTTGTTGTCGCTGTGTTTCACGGACACCTCCCTTGGGATAAGTTTCTTTGCTATTAGCGTGACAACGTGATGAGCCTGCAATTTTCTCCGAGATCTACGGAGTCTTGCGTTTTCAGCAGTCGAGCTACAAGAAGATGAGATTGAGTCAATTGTGGGTTATTGAGTGCTTGGATTGGGAAAATTCTTTGATTTCATAGGCTATTTTCAAAGATTTTGAAGTATCATGATTTTTCTAGATCAGATGATTGCATGTTGTTTTGATGTTTGATCGTTCGAAACAATTGATATTCGTTAATTTCGATATTAATTCTAGTATCGATTGGCTTAATTGGGAAACTCCAAAAAGTTCACAAAATGCAAGTAAGAACAACTATCTTCGTACAATAGCATTGAAAATCTGGAGAACTTATGAACCTATTGTATCTATATATTACCTCAGTTTTGATCATAGAAATTTGTCCCTTTCTCAAGATTTCACCATTTAAATCGACCTAACTGAAACGTCAAGCGAAATGTTTTATCTTCAGTAAGTTTCTGACGCTTTTACGATGGAAATCGTTCGTATTTCACGTTCGATTGGCCTGGTTTTACCGAGAGAGGCTCCAAGCAAGCGTGTACTGCCATTGTAACGAGTCTTAAGTGCGGTCTTTGTAGCTCCATTAACGTCTCCGGCAAGTTTCGCATGACACTCTCTCATTCACTCGATTACTGAACGCGAAGCATAAACGGGGCCGTTGCTGGAAACTGCTGCCACCCGGAACGACAATTCAGACAATTAATGCAGCTTTGCCGTGGTGAGTAACACGTTACCGCGAATTACTCCGACGCTAGGAATTTTCACCACGACGACGTTAAAATATCGTAACGACAAAGCCTCTTTAAAAGTATTTATAAAAATATATGTATATACATCATGGCCCTAATTTCGTAGTGTAATGCGAGTTGATTAATATAGTTTCTGAACGGTTCATTTATAAAAAGACGGAAGAGTTTGTATGTATTTGACACGTTGATCCTTCGACTAAATCCTTCTGCAGTCCTTGAATTTTTTATATCTCAATTTCGCTTTAGTTTCAACTGAGTAAAAGTGTTTTAATGTTTTAAGAGAACCTTTGGCATAAAATTCAGATGAGAAATTACCTATATCAAGAATGATTCTTTCACATTTTCCACGTCATTCACTTGCATCGTTCACTAGTTATTTCCCACTACATAGACGACGTGAAGGGCAATTTAGTTTTTGTGCAAAAGTATGCAGAAGGTTTTCTTGCTAGGAGCAAGACACGCGTCCGTGCAGTGCCTCGGCACGAGATGAACGATATATGGCTACAGGCTGAATCAATACCACGGTCCAATAGCAACAATCGTATTAATTGAACGTAATAATCGCAAGAAAGATATCGCTCGACATTCTTCGTCGTGATATAACGATACTCGTTTCTGAATCTTCACGCGCGACTGCGATCGATTTTCCGCTTCAAAATCGACCATTATTATTTTTATTTGTAATCGAGCTTCATCCCTTTTCAGGATGATAACGCTTTGAGAATCATGCAAGCAATGGTTTAAAATAATCTTCGATGCTATATAATTCTTTTGAGTATGCGTTTGAAAATATTTTCTACGTAAGATAAAATTGCACATATTCAAATAAGTCTAAATAAATTGAGATTCAAGTAAGTCCGATTACATCCACCAAGAATAACAAAAAGTCCAAATAAATGGCAATAAATCCAGACGAATTTAAAAATATCTAAATAAATCCGAATAAATTCGAATAAACCGAAGTAAATTCGAATAAACCCAAATAAATTCGAATAAATCCAAATGAATCTAAACAAATCTAAATAAATCCAAATAAGTTCAAATAAATAAAAAAGATAAATCCGACCAAATTCCAATAAATCCAAACACCCGAATAAAGAAGAACTAAAAAAGAAAAAGAAAAAGAAAAGAACTAAAAAAGAAAAATAACAAAATTACAGTAAAAATCTCGTAATCTTAACATCTGTACTCAATCGCAACAAGTATCAATCAATGAGAACCTTCGAGCTATAATCAACCCCCCACGTACTCCATAAAACATGAAATCCCCAAACACCTATCGCTTCTATCGTAAAGAATCTTGCTCGACCATTTAATTACTATACCAGGGATCATAATCGAGCCAAGGGTAGAACTATAAGAAGCCGGAGCCAGAATTGTACCTTGAGCAACAGGGGGTGCGACGCTCCCTTCTATGGGCGAAACTGGGATTTGTATGGTGGTCGGCGATGGCGTGGTCCTTCCGCGACCCCAGCTCTCGAATCCTCTGGCAACGTTGCTTATATACTTGTTGCACAGGGCCTTCTTCACCATATAACACCGTGGCATCTTGGCTTTTGGTTTCTTTCTCTTGGTCCTAAATAGGGAGAAATTCAGATCCGATGTAGATGAAGAATAAACAACTAACAAAAAGAAATCCTTCAATTTTTATATTTTTTTTGGAAAAAAATTCTTCTCTATCTTCGTATTTCCAGACCATCGGATAGATTTTTATTGAATTATTTCGATTATATTTCTGGTTAAAAAAAGGTATGACGAATAAGAAGAAATCCTCCAATGTTTATATTCTTTTCGAAAAACAAAATATTTTTCTCAATGATCAATTCTTCCCGAGTTTGTACTTCCAGAGCACCAGATAGACGTTCGTTCAGTCGAAGACGATCGTCGTTTATCAAACGATCGATCGTGATTTCGATTCGCGCAAAATGTCGCCCTGGTGGTCCTC